TATATATATATCATGTAATGTAACTATTTAATGATAAATCTAATAATATACCTAAATAAATCAAACCAAATATAATTAAATTAGTGAATAAAAAATAAAAAATTAAACCAATTCAAACCAATTAAAATTGATTGAGTTAGATTAAAATATATCTCAAATCTAATTCAATCCAATCCAATTTATATATATATTCTCAATCTTAAATGTATTTTTAATTAAAATTTATTTTTAATTTAATAATTAATAAAGTAAAATTCATGAATATTAAGAATAAATTAAAAAAAAGAAATTTAAATAAATAAATGTTATTGATTAAATTAATTAGTTTTTATTTTTTATTTTAAGTAATTGAATGTTATAAAAAGTAGGTGAGGGAAAACTGTATTCGGGTGAGTATACAACAAAAACTGATAGTAGTTTTATCTTTTTTGAAGGTAGAATAAAAACTGATAGTTTAATTTGCTGCGAACGAGTTTTAAGTGTATTTGTTTTGACCAACATCAAGAGAAACTTCCAAAACTAAGAGAGAAAAAAAAAAAAAATAAGAAGAAGAAAGAAAAACGCGTGCGAAGAACGCACATGATTATGTAACATGGTGGAAGAAGTTGCGTCTTCTTCCCTTGAATTAACCGAAGAATCCATAAATAAAAAAGAAGACAGAGAATCATAGCTTTACTTCACGTAATCCACAGTTGAAACTAAACAACCAATTCTCTCTTGAAACCCAAACTTGGTTACAAATACATTCCCTCATCATTCATCATTCATCAACAACCTCTTCATCTTCGACCTTCACACACTCTTCTCTCGCGCGCATTAGACACACGTGTAACTACACATATACGTTAACACTACGCACGTACCAAATCTTTAGGAAGGTTAATTACGACACCACACCAATGGCGGCGGTAGCTTTTCTCGCCTCCGCCGCGCTGCTGTTGCTGTCGGCTGCGGCGGCGGCTTTTGGATCGCCGGCGACTCTCACGCTGGAGAGAGCGTTTCCGACGAATCATGGAGTGGACTTGAGTCGGCTGAGAGCTCGCGACGCCTTGAGGCATCGCAGAATGTTGCAGTCTTCAAACGGCGTCGTTGATTTCACCGTTCAAGGCACCTTCGATCCCTTCCAAGTCGGGTAACTCCGTCGCTTCTTCGGTTTTCGCTTTTCGCCTTTTTCTTTTTTTGCTTTCGTGCTGTTGAATCAATTCCAGTGGCTTTTCGACTTGTGTTTGCTTTTTTGTTCTTGCTTCTTCTCTCTTCTTTTCATGTAGATTTTTTTTTTTTTTTTTTTTTCATTATTATTTTTTTCGTAATTAATATGTGGTTTTCATTTGCATTATATAATTATTATGTGTGTTTTAATTTAAAAGTTGAAATTAATGGCTTGTTGCAGGCTCTACTATACAAAGGTGCAGTTGGGTACTCCTCCGGTTGAATTTAATGTGCAGATTGACACTGGCAGTGATGTTCTCTGGGTTAGTTGTAAGTCATGCAGTGGTTGTCCTCAAACAAGTGGACTTCAGGTAAATGCATTTTTCTCAAAATAAGGCTATGTTTGATTAAACTTTTCATTAAGCACTTATAAAAGAAGAAAATAACAAGGTAAAATGAGTTAATCTTTTGTCGTAAGTTAAAATTAGATTTTGTATAAACTAATTTATTGGAATTCTCCCATTTAGCTCATTTAAACTAATTTTAATTTATGAAAAAAGCTTAATTTATAGAAACTCTCTTATTAACTTCTGCGTATGAAAGATGCTTAATTTATTTTATGGAGAAGTTTTATTTGAACATGACCTAATTTGATGTTATGTTTGTAGAATAGTTAGGTCAACAATATAGCCCCGGACTTTGTAAATATGGTGGTTGTTGGATTTTGTAACAGATTCAGCTCAATTTTTTTGACCCTGGGAGTTCATCAACATCTTCATTGATCTCTTGTTCTGACCAAAGGTGCAATAATGGAATACAATCATCAGATGCCAGCTGTTCCAGTCAGAACAACCAGTGCTCCTACACTTTCCAGTATGGAGATGGGAGTGGGACATCAGGCTATTATGTGTCAGATATGATGCATTTAAATACTATTTTTGAGGGAGCCGTGATCACGAATTCTACAGCACCTGTAGTTTTTGGGTGAGCTTTCAATTTCATGAGCCTGAAATGGTTGATGCCATTCCTGTTTTATTTATTTATTTATTTTTATGTTTGTCGGTTTAATCTTGGGAAGCATTAATTTGTGAATTGAGCAGTTGTAGCGACCAGCAGACTGGGGACTTGACAAAGTCTGACAGAGCAGTTGATGGGATATTTGGATTTGGGCAACAGGAAATGTCTGTTATTTCTCAGCTCTCCTCACAAGGCATTGCCCCAAGAGTATTCTCCCATTGTCTGAAAGGAGATAGCAGTGGTGGGGGCGTATTGGTTCTTGGTGAGATTGTGGAGCCAAACATAGTTTACACTTCACTTGTTCCATCACAGTAAGTTCCTTTCATCAGAATAAAACTGTTTTTCTTGGTGTTTGTTTTTGTTAAATAACAAATGCATGATGGGGGCTAATTCAAATTCTTTGGTAAACATAGTGAGTGAAGGGACATATGTGCCTTTGTTCTTAGGAGCCTAATAAGATGTTTACTTAAATTTTTAGCACTACTGATTGTTGGCCATTCTTTAATACCGGAAGCTCTCAGTATTCTAGGCTTCTAATTATTCATCTAAGCAAGATGATGTTAATATAAAGTTTCTGTCTCTCAATCTTGTATGTTGAAATTACTTTCTGACCTATAGCCTACAGGTTTGGAATGTGATTGTGAAGAATGAAATGCCTAGATGAAGATATGATTTTGGCACCAAATTACGGCTATGAATCTATGTATAGTATGTTACGGTTTTGTCATTTACTTAGGTGCCTGCTCTTGGAATAGTGCCTTGAGCGAGGTAGATGATAAATTTAGTCAGTGGTTGATTAGGTTGTCTATCTATCTGAAAAAGGTTAAACCAGAGAGAAGTTGAAATCAGCCCTTTAGTATCCAGAAGGGAATATTATCTATCTTGATTCAGAGTACTATGTAGATTCATTATTGTACATTCTGAGTTTTATACAGAAGTTGGATTAGGTTGGGGAATTTAAAAACGTTATTATCAATAGGTATCTGTACTGAAGTGGCTTGAAATAATGTCCCTCTATAGAAGCGTTTAGACTAACTGCTTCTTTGCAAATATTTCAGGCCCCATTACAATTTAAATCTACAGAGCATTTCTGTTAACGGGCAGACATTGCAAATTGATTCATCAGTTTTTGCAACATCAAACAGCAGAGGTACCATTGTTGATTCTGGAACAACTTTGGCGTACCTTGCAGAAGAAGCTTATGATCCCTTTGTCAATGCGGTGAGTTTCATTTAGGTAATTTAATGTTATTCAATTTATCAACAAAATTTGTTGCTTTGATGCTCAATGTCATACATTAATTAGCAATCATTACATACTTTTTTCTAGGTTGGAGGTTTATCAAATATTAATGCCAAAATGCTTTTTTTCATTAATGCAGATTACAGCTGCAATTCCACAAAGTGTACGCACTGTTGTTTCCAGGGGAAATCAATGTTTCTTAATCACCACCAGGTTAGGCTGAGCGATTCATACCTCTCTTTTTTCCAGCTCATCCTCCATTTGCTAATTGGTTGCTAAAAAATAGTTCATCTTGATACTCTCTTTTTCTAACTCTTTTTGTCTGTTCTGTGTTTAGTGTCACCGACACTTTTCCTCAGGTAAGTCTGAACTTTGCTGGTGGTGCATCTATGATTTTAAGACCACAGGACTACCTAATACAGCAGAATTCTATTGTAAGTATTCAAGTTTCAATTCCTATTTTTTCAATATTCTGAGGACTAGTCTGGATTGATATTTATTTCAAGTTGAAGTGAGTTGCGATAGACAATGGAATGATGGATGAAGAATATTTGTCATCAATCTAATTTTTCCCCCTTTCCTTCCACTCATTTGTCCCATAAAATCTGATTTTTACTTTTGTTCCTTTAGGTGCCTCGTGTGCCCTTATGACAATTTCCTCGATAACTTTTCAAGTTCTTGTATAGAACTAATAATTTCTTATGGCATGTTTATGATATGATTCAAATTATCATCCAGTAAAAGAGCTCATTTTGCTCTTCCACTATATTTGGTTAGATATTTCCTATTCTTATGCTTTTGGTAGCTCTCTTCGGGTGCATTATCATTAAAAAAAAAATGACAGAAAACTTTTCTTCTAATTCTCATTACATGTCATTTTTCAATTGAAATCTGAAACCTTAAAGTGTTGATAACATCTTTAGACATGTCTCAGATATTTATGGGTAAATTCATGGATATTGCTCATAGCTTTGATTACGTGCATTTATTCGTCACATACACCTTACTACTGCTTTGTATTGTCCAATTTTTATACACTGTATGTGATCTCACTAATCTATGGTGAACCTATGCATGTTACAGGGTGGTTCAGCAGTATGGTGTATTGGCTTTCAGAAAATCCAGGGACAAGGAGTAACAATTCTAGGAGGTACAATACATGAATACCGATTTGAACACTTAAGGCCATATATTCATCTCTTGCATGGTGATATCTAGCATGAATAAATAAAATATTTTTTTTCATTTTTTATAGAAATTTCAAATACTCGTTTCTTGTACATAAAGTCATAAACTATTTTTCATCATTTGTTGGGATCTTTTCTTCAAGAGTATGATACTAAAATCACTTTCTGTTGTGGCAGATCTCGTATTGAAAGACAAAATTGTTGTTTATGATTTGGCTGGTCAACGAATTGGATGGGCTAACTATGACTGTAAGTTTCAGCCGCACTACTAGAAGGGCATATATAATGATGGCATAATTTGCTTTTCTTAATGAGGCTTATAAGTTATAAGTTATTCCTTTTCCACTCAACCAAGAATTTTCGTTTTGTTCTTATAAGTTATAAGAGCTAACTTTGTTTTGTAGTCATAAGATATCTTAAACACTAGCTTCTGATTCTGTTCACTTCAAATTCAACGATTTAGGTTCTTTGTCGGTGAATGTCTCTTCAACAACTGGCACTGGCAGAAGTGAATTTGTGAATGCTGGAGAGCTCGGTGGAAGCACTTCTTTACGTGATGGACTTAAGTTGACAAAGACAGGGTTCTTGGCTTTCTTTGTGCAACTAACACTAATTTACTGCTTTGGATTCTTATAGCATTTATACATTGTGAGAGATATTCTTTTTTTCTATGTATATTCTTTTTGCCGGTATATATTTGTGAGAATCGGCAAGACCACATTAATTTGAATGTTGCTTGTGCCCTCTTTCTGCATAATAGGCTTGTCCGGTTTATCCTTAGGTGATTCTGTTGAACTCTATTAGTCTTGTAGAATCAGATAATTACTCTTTACTTTTGACAGTGTTGTAAATTACTTCACAGGATTACTGATTGAAACGCACACACGCGTTATAAAATATAGCTTTTTGTTATCTTGATTCAATTGAGTTTGGTTTTTGCTGATGATCAATGTAGTTGATGAAAGATGATAATTTAACTACTTTACGTTAAGCTGAATCAGATTAAAATAGCCAAAAATTTATGAGTGATGAAAAGAATATTATTATTCTTGAAAATGGCAAACGAAGAACTAAGAAAATGGGGTTTGACTGATTCAGCTACGGTTTGTTATTGGGAAGTGCGATTGGCTTTCTTTTAAATTTATTTGAATTTCGAAATCAAAAGCAATTAAACAAACACTGTTTGCTTTGCTAAGCTCAGTATTTTCTCTGGGTTTAGAGTGATTAACATTACGAATATTTTAATTTATGTTAAAAGAGAACAGTTTATAATTCTTGTCACTTTTCGCATCTATTAACAGGTGTGCCTTCTTGATTTGTTCTACATTCCCTCAAATGTCTTATTCGGCAGCCTCCTTTTCGGCTAAACGACCAGTAGGGCATTTTTAAAAACTTATTACCAAAATAAGGCTGTTTTGAAACAATTTACATCTTTGGGGCTTTTTTATTGGGTGTTGTTATGGGCCATAGCGACACCCATGACACGTGAGTGTTTTTTTAGGCTTGATTGGGCTGGACCAGTGTCGCTATAGGCTTGTCCAGTACGCCAAAGTGGCGCTGTGGCTCATAATTTTTTTTGTTTTTCGTTTTTAAATTATTTATTACATTATTTTTTAGTAGGCGCTGTGGCCCAGTACGCCTGAGTGGCGCTGTGGCTCACAGCGCCCCATTTTTTTATTTTTATTTTTTCGTTTTTCAATTATTTTTTACATTATTTTCTTAACAGGCGCTGTGGCCCAGTACGCCTGAGTGGCGCTGTGGCTCACAGCGCCCCATTTTTTTTTTTTTATTTTTTCGTTTTTCAATTATTTTTTACATTATTTTCTTAACAGGCGCTGTGGCCCAGTACGCCTGAGTGGCGCTGTGGCTCACAGCGCCCCATTTTTTTTTTTTTTTTTTTTCGTTTTTCAATTATTTTTTACATTATTTTCTTAACAGGCGCTGTGGCCCAGTACGCCTAAGTGGCGCTGTGGCTCACAGCGCCCCATTTTTTTTTTTTTTTTT